TCCTTTGTTTTCTCCCTCGCCATCGCCGTTACCGATGCCGACCGGATTCTTTCCACTCTCGATGGGCCGACCGACGACATTAAAGTTTGAAAATGGAAATTTAATGTCAAAGCGAAAGCAGTAAGTAAAAAGAGAATCATGAGAATTTTGTTAGTGATTTTGGAAGTGGTTTAATTTATAGTCATTTTTTTATTTGGTTGATGCCACTGGAATCAGTTAGCTGCAAGAAAATTTTAATTTAGCTGCATATTTTCTTTTTTCTCAATTTCTATTGTTATTGCTCTATTGCTTGATTTATGTGAATTAGATATTGGCAACTTTTGCAGGGGAATTCCAGATTGGTAACAATATAAAGCCATTAAACCTCAATACTGTTGCAAGTTGGTTCGATATGGGAGGTCAAGGTTTTCATTAACTCATGAAGCATCCGCCATGTTCATCTAACAGGTTTGAGTGGTTACCGTAGTTTAACTTAGTATAAGATAGATTTGAATTTGCAATTCAGTATGCTTGGTACTGCTGAGCTTTTTTTCTGTCCCAACAATGTGATCTTAGCATTTGAAGATGTCCGCTGATTGGGAAGAGTTAAAAATTAATTAAGACAATACAAAAACAAGCCTAATGAAATTTTTGGCCTTGTTCTTGTTTTACAACATTGATTAGGTATTTCCTCTTTTGGTGGAGAAGGTTTTGGATTCAGTTTACAATTTCGACCAGGCAGTTTTGTATTAGTAACAACAATGTTGACTTTAAATTCGATAGTGTTTTTTATCACCATTCTTAAATTTTTATGGTGTTTGGGCTGAAAATAGTGCATGAATTCTGTTAAGAAACTAGGATTAGTTTACCTGATGATTGTTGCAAGTTATTACATGATAAGTGATTTCTTTTAGAGCTATTCTACTCTTGAAAAAATATGCTGGTTCTGAAATGCCCCTTCCCAGGCATTTGTCTCCCCTACTTTGGTGAATACTTCCTACCTAACTTTTTTTATAATATCTGTAAGGACTTGTGATTTGAACCACTGGATGAGTGTTGTACTTTTTTCACCCTAATGTAGAACTGAAACCCAGCTCACAATATTATTTCGATGCGGAGATCCATCCATTTCAGCCATGAGTGATATCTACCACTTCCGGACAATGCCAGTTCTGTTCCCAGGAGCTATCCAAAGAGAATAGCAGTTGTGGGAGATCTGGGACTAACATATAATACAACCGACACTATCAGTCATTTGAAAAGGAACAAGCCTGATTCAGTTTTATTAGTTGGAAATGTCACTTATGCAGACCTTTATCTCACAAATGGTACTGGTTCAGACTGCTATGATGCTCATTTCCACAGACTCCAATACATGAGACCTATCAGCCTCGTTGGGATTACTGGGGGAGGTCAGATGTTTCACTATTACCTCTTTTTGTTTTTTACTGCCTTTTTTTTTCTATTTTAGGTTGTGTCTAGTAGAGAAGGGTTTGTTGATTGCCTTCATTTAGTCCGACTTTAACTGCACGAAAACTATGAACTTATGTTAATTGAATGTTTTTCTGCAGGTTCATGCAGAGTTTAATTTCTAAAACTCCAATAATGGTAGTAGAAGGGAACCATGAAATAGAAGCAAGTTGGGAACCAGAGCTTTGTAGCTTACAGTTCTCGATTTGCATTTCCTTCGGAGGAAAGCAGATCTTCATCAACATTCTACAATTCCTTTAATGCAGGAGGGATACATTTCATCATGCTAGGAGCATACGTTCCTTTTAGTAAATCAGGTACTATTGTCCTTGTAAAATCATTATACAGAGCTTTTCCATATGATATCAAAGATAGGATTTTGTTACATTTTTTGGTTTTGACAGTTCGTTTTTTCTTGGCATATGTTTCTGATTACCCTCGCAATTAATTCCTTTTATTAATGGTTTATATAAATTAATGACATGAATGACTAATATAGAGTTTCAGGTGTTTTAATCTCTCTGAAATCCAATCACAGAAATTCTCTATTTTACTACATTGTTATAGGAGTAAACGTATTTTAGGAGTGTTTTTTTCTTGCTATTATGAAGTATAAAAGTGATATCACTGACTCCGCAATCCCCCTTTCTCATTTCAAATTCTTGTGTAAACCTTGCTAAGACTTCTTACTTATTTCTTCTGCAGCAAAGCAATACAAGTGGCTGGAGAGGGACTTAGCTAATGTCGATAGATCCGTGACTCCATGGCTGGTAGCTACTTGGCATCCACCATGGTACAATTCATATAAAGCTCATTATAAAGAGGCAGAATGTACGAGGGTGGAAATGGAAGAACTACTTTACAGTTATAGTGTTGACATAGTCTTGAATGGACATGTAAGTCATGAAAATCAACTATGGTATTTCGGTGACAACCGACAAGGGACCAACATTATACAATCTAAGTTGACACAGTAAAAGAACATGGTCACTTGCTTCGCATGAACTGATGTTACATTTATCAAATCAGTTGAATTCACACGTGCGACACATACACACGTATATGGATATTGTTTTTTCTTCTTTGGGGGTTTGGAGGGGAAATCCATTCCACAACATGTATTGTATCCATGAAATATCTGAACTTATTTTGTTCCAAGTTTTACAGGTTCATGCCTACGAGAGGTCCAATCGAGTTTACAATCATACATTAGATCCATGTGGGCCAGTACATATCACAGTAGGAGATGGGGGAAACCGTGAGAAAATGGCAGTTGAACATGCTGATGAAGCTGGTAACTGTCCAGAGCCATCATCTACCTATGACGAGTATATGGGTGGCTTTTGAGCAACAAACTTCACTACTGGTCCAGCAGCTGGAAATTTCTGTTGGGACCGGCAACCTGATTTCAGTGCCTTCAGAAAAAGTAGCTTTGGTCATGGAATCTTGGAGGTATTCCTTTTTCTATGTAGGAATCACTTTTCTATGCATCTCGTGAATTTGCGATGAAAATTTACAGACATTGGCTTAAAGTAGGGAGTAAATTTAGATAGATCCGTTTTTTTTTCCGGCCAATAGATAGATCCGTTAATCAGTCAATGCTTTACCAGTTAAAAGTAAAAGAAAAAACAAATCATCTTTTGCAAAACAAACAGATTCTGAGTTCAATTTCAACCTGTTATCATTCTAACATGGAGTACTAAATGTTTCCTACTTTATAATTTTTCTTGATTTTATGGTGAGTCCGTCATCGGCTGCTTCTAACTTCAAAGTCTTGAATGTCAGGTGAAGAATGAAACTTGGGCTCTATGGACAAAGAGGGTGCCTAAATTATATTTTATTCTCTAAACTATATGTTGTACTAAATTTATATTTACATTATCAGAAAAGCCAAGATGAAAGGGACAGTGATGGTGGTGATGCTGATTCCCATGCATCTCAGGAAGTACACACGTTTCTATTCAGCATGATAAGAGCTGTAGCAGCATTAGTTGGGAATGGGATGATGAATCTCAAGCCTTTAAGATGAAGTCTAAGGAAGAAGCCTCATATGATAAGCGGACTACTGTTTTGTCTGAAGAAGTACCAAAGGTTGTTGAAAATGTAACATTTGAGAATGGTGGAAGTAATTCTGCAGGAAAGACTTGCTGTTGGCAATTTGGTAAAAAGTGCGTTATCTATGCCAGAGAAAACGGACATTTCCGCAAAGAACTGATGCAGGGTTGAAGGCAAGCGAATAGAATTTGTTGCCCGCATCAAATGGGATTTCTGGAAGGAGCTGAAGGAAAATATTTCCCATCCTCGGATATTCCTACTGCTGAAACATTAGAGCAGCCTCTTGTTGCTTCCACACCTCCACCGCTGCAAACAACCTCATGCTTAAGTTGCTGTGGATTGTTTCAAGTCTTTAATGTTTCTGCCAGATAATTGAACTTTCGAGTCATCCGCCAAGTTAGATAACCTATATTATACTTTCCTTTATACTTTGCAGAACTGAGTGTTTGAGAATTCTATCAGGGTCGGAGAAAGTTATAGGTGGTGGTGGTGGTGTTGATATTAAACGGAAAGGACTAGAAGAGAAGACGATGTCGAGACTGAATTGTGCCAAAACTGCAACACGAACTTACTGTTGTCTTCCGAGTTAGACTTATCGAACTATCTCGCACCGCAAGGTGGTGTGCCAAAACTGCTTGTCAATGGGTGATTGTGGAGCGAAATTCTTTTGGGTTAACTGATACTTGTATATCCCTTAGTTAGGAGAGTGTCAAACAGTAACACGAATTTACTGTTGTTGACCTTTACTTGAGTGGGGAGTGATTTCTTTTTAACATGGTTTTTTCTGCACTTGCCTTGGACCAGCATTTGGTTGACCTTTTTCCTATTAGAAACCAAGCCAAATAGAAAATCTGTAATTAACTTGTTTGCAGCTGGCTTAGTCGTTTCATCGTCTGTAACATTAGAAAGCTTCAGCATATCATTTACCCAATTAACAGGGGAGACATCAACAGCTTGTCCAGGAGACAGACGGGGAACATCTACAATGGAATGAAACTCCTTATCAGCACTAGGTGGAACATCTACCATAATAGTAAAATTGTTTCTTAGAGATAATTTATATAATTTTACTCTTTCTATATTTTTAATTACTTTTTTATATTTTTATTGCGTAAAAGCAAATCCCTCCATGTATTTCTTCAATTATTTCCCTCTCTTCGAATAAAAATATATTTTTTAAATTTGTTTTGGAAACCGTTGAGGGACATATTTTATTCATAAAATTTACATCAGATTCAGATTAAATGAAAAATCATCAAATATCAAATCTAATTAGATACGGATAAAAATTTTAAATTATTATAATCAAATTCAAATCGATCAAAATTCGACCCATGCACACCCACATCAACGTTAATCAATATTTAGGATTACTATAAAGTGGACCTTTTCATAAACTTTAGCCCAAACAAAATCCAAATCAGATAGAGTAGCCAACGTCCAAGTCCAGCAGTGCTAAATATACCATACAATTGATTACCTGCTCTCACTTCAATTTCTGGTGCTCAATTTGTACGCAAATCTAAAATGGCCACTCTCTCGGCTCACCCCCACCCATTTCTACCCGCTGTCAATCGGCCACCGACTCATATCCTTAAGCCACTCCGGGTTTCGTCCATTTCCGCTGCCAAGTCCGAAACATCTGCTCCAGACAAGGATGAAGAAGAGGAAACATGGAGCTTAACAGTGAGTGATAGAAGAAGGGAAAAAGGACTTGTTCATGCCGAGAGAGAAGAAGTGAACAGGAAGATAGCTTCAAGGAAGGCTATTTCCGTCATTCTTCGACGAGAGGCCACCAAGGCTTTTATCGAAACTAAGAGAGGACCCAACAATTCCAAGAAGCTGCTTCCCAGGACTGTGCTTGAAGCCCTTCATGAGAGAATCACTGCTTTGCGTTGGGAATCTGCTCTTAAGGTCTGATTGAAATTTTGAGATTTCTTCTTGCTCTTCGTTTCTGTACATATAGTTTTGTAATTTCATCGTTGGGATTTTGTGGGTATGTTTTTTCCCCCTTCAAATATCTCCTGAATTGAAGAACTATGTTGCATACGGTGTTGAGGTGAAGATACCGATTTACTATAAATGATGGTGCTTAGGCTTAACCGATCACATAAACAAGTTACAGTCAAAGAGAAGCTGAAAATTTTCATCTTATGATCTAGCAGTGTTCTTTATTTCTTTTAGGACGAGTATAAAATACAGCCCGATAGGAATCGGTTGCAACAAAAAAAAACTTATCATGAATGTAACTCTTTACAGTAATATAACATTTTAGTTTGTAATCGAAAATGTTATCATATCGTAAATTTTTATAACTATTCCGGTTCTAACTTCCAAAATTATTATCAATTGTATAATCTTTAGAGTGGATAGGTAATATTTTAGGTTAAAAGCAGTTGCAATGTCACATTCGGGTTTTAACTGAAATTATTATCGATTGTATGAACTTTTAAACTAGAGTACTAGACAGAATAACGTTTTAGGTTAAAATCCGCCCTAAATTAATCTTAAGTTAGGCAGCCGCACAGAAGATCTACTCCCTTGAGAAACAAGTTTAACTTCCTAGATCACATGTTCCAATTATAACACCAGGGTCATCACATCTTTTCCCCAGGTTTTTGAGCTACTACGGGAGCAGCTTTGGTATAAACCCAACCCTGCTATATACATCAAGCTTATTGTTATGCTTGGGAAATGCAAGCAGCCTGAGAAAGCTCGTGAGCTCTTTCAAGCTATGAGTGATGAAGGCTGTGTTATGAATCTTGAAGCCTACACTGCTCTCTTGTCTGCCTACAGTCGGAGTGGTCTCTTTGATAAAGCATTTTACCTTCTAGAGGAGATGAAGGACATTCCTATGTGTCACCCTGATGTGCAGACTTACTCGATCCTCATTAAATCGTGCCTGCAGGTTTTTGCCTTTGACAAAGTACGTGTCTTGCTTTCTGACATGGCGAGTCGGGGAATTCGGCCCAACACAGTCACATACAACACCCTTATTGACGCCTACGGCAAGGCAAAAATGTATCTTGTTGATCTCTCTTCTGTAGTTTCAGGAATGCTCCATCTGAATGCCATATTATATACAATATAGTGTAAAAAGCGATTGAACTTCACTTGCATGAAAGTAACTCGTTCTTTTCGTTTGATGAAAGGTTCCAAGAGATGGAAATGACACTGGTGGAGATGCTTAGGGGAAAGGATTGTGAACCAGATGTTTGGACCATGAACTCCACGATCAGAGCCTTCGGCAGCAGTGGGCAAATCGAAACCATGGAGAAGTGTTATGAGAGGTTTCAGAGTGCTGGTATCCAGCCTAATATTAAGACCTTCAACATTCTATTAGATTCATATGGAAAAACTGGAAACTATGAGAAGATGAGTGCTGTGATGGAATATATGCAAAAATACCATTACTCGTGGACAATTGTTACCTACAATGTGGTGATAGATGCCTTTGGAAGGGCTGGTGATTTGAACAGATGGAATATTTGTTTAGGTTAATGCGGTCGGAAAGAATCAAACCTAGTTGTGTCACCCTTTGCTCCCTGGTAAGAGCTTATGGTCAAGCCGGAAAACCTGAAAAAATCGCTGGTGTTTTACGGTTCGTTGAGAATTCTGACGTAACGTTGGACATTGTGTTTTTCAACTGTCTGGTGGATGCTTATGGCAGGATGGGATTCTTTGCAGAGATGAAGGGAGTGCTTGAAATGATGAAGCAGAAAGGATGTAAACCTGATAAGATCACATACAGAACCATGATTAAGTCTTACTCTATCGGTGGGATGACTAACCATGCAAAGGAGCTACGGGATCTTGTTGAGTCAGCGACCGGGACTTCTTCGAGAATGCCGAAGCCTGATTTCTGACAACCAGAATATTACAGGTCAAATATCCCTGAGATATAGTGTGTATTTTAGTTTCCCCCCCTAATGCTGTAAATGCACACCATCACCACGAGTGAAATGAAAATAATTCACCATTTTTGTTTCAAGTTTTTTATATGAGAAAATCGCCTCAGTGACCAAAAAAAAGTTATAATATACGATTTTAACCAACTTTTTTTGGATTTGCCAAAATGACCAACAAAATCGCAACGCGAAATAAAAATCGCAACGCGATCCCCAGAATCGCAAATCAGTTTCCAGAATCGCAAATCAGTTTCCAAAATCGCAACGCGATTCTTGAAAATCGCGATGCGATAGTACAAATTCGCATTGCGATTTTCCATAATCGCAACGCGAATATGAAAATCGCAACGCGAACACATAAATCGCAACGCGTATCCGTAAATCGCAACGTGTATCCGTAAATCGCAACGCGTATGGGTAAATCGCAATGCGTATCCGTATATCGCAACGCGTATCCGTAAATCGCAACGATAATACATAAAATTGCAACGCGTATCCGTAAATCGCAACGCGATATTTAAAGCGCCATTATAATCGCTACGCGTATTTTATTTTCAAATTACAAAAAGAATATTAAGACAAAATCCCGTAATCGCAACTCATAACCTAAAACCTAAAATCACAACTCAGTCCCATCTCCATCTCTCACTCTCTACGGCGAAGAAATCCGTCCCCATCTCCGAAGATTTCCGTCCCCATCTCCGGCGAAATCCCTCACAACCATTCACGGTCAGAAATCCCTCACAATATTCAGAAATGGAAAATCAACCTATGAGGGTTAGTTTTTTTAATTATTTTTATTTTGAAATGTTTGCATTATTGTAGGTTTTTCATATTGAAACTGATGATAAGTTTACTGGTCATTTCAATAATAGATTAACCATTTCACTTAGATTTCATTTCGCGTTACGATTCTGTCGTTGCGATTTTCATTTCGCGTTGCTATTCTCTCGTTGCGATTTTCAAGTTAGTATTTGTCTTTGTCTTTGTTCTGTCTTTTGGTTGAAGTAATGCAATCCATTCAAGTTTCAATTTGCAGAAGAGTCGCAACGAGATAAATGAAAATCGCAACGAGAGAATGACTGTCGCAACGAGAGAATCGCAACGCGAAATGAAAATCGCAACGAGAGAATCGCAACGCGAAACCAAAATCGCATTGCGATTTTCATTTCGCGTTGCGATTCTCTCGTTGCGATTTTCATTTCGCGTTGCGATTCTCTCGTTGCGATTGTCATCTCGCGTTGCGATTCTCTCGTTGCGATTTTCATTTCAACCAAAAGACAAAACAGTGTTGCAAATTTTAGTTTCAAGAATAAACTACTACTTTTTATGTTTATTGTTTTGGTAAATCTTCACAGTGTAGTTTTTGGTATATCTAACTTGGTATGTTTATTGTTTTTGTAGAAATTTTTTTCGGCTCAATTGACCTTGAGAAATAAAGTCAGCCTGGCCACTACAATTGCAAAGAAGCTTTCACCTGCTCAAAGACAATTGTTTGAGGAAACCTGCTTCGGGCCATGGCTGAGAGTACAGCATCCGGGTGGAGATGCTAATTTGACCCATTTGTGGCTTCAGACCATGACATCAAATCTACCCGACAGTATACAACGTGGTGAGGAAGAGATATGGTTTCATTTTCCACCAGCGTATACTTGCTTTGGGCGGAAGGAGTTCTGCTTAATCACTGGTCTACGATTCGGACACGATGATGTAGGCCGGTACACTCGTCATATCGCCCGCCCATCATGGTTATCCCGGGTTTTTCCGGATGAGTCAATGGAGAAGCCGAACCTACATGTCGACGACCTGAAGAAATTATTTAATAAGAAAGCTGGTTTCACTCGGATGGAAGACGTCGATGTTGTCCGAGTATGCCTTCTACTACTTGTGTATGCCGGCTTTTTAGGCAGAGAGGCCAGACAACCTATTCATCGGGAGCTAATAATATTGGTAGAGGACCTGAATGCATGGAATCTGTTTCCGTGGGTTCGTATATATGGAAAGCTACCTGGACTAAGTTGTCGTCTGCCTTTGATGACCGCAAAAGTTTGCGGGGCGATGGGTCCAAATACACTTTGTCAGGCTTTGTTTGGGCCTTTAAGGTAAGAATTTCTATATAATGTTTCTAAAATTATAATTAATTATTTAACAATTACTAATTTTGTTATTATATTGTTTGTAGATTGGATATTCGAGGCTTTCCCCAGCATGCGTACATATGCAATAAAAACGTCAAATGATATTCTCAGGGCTATTTCCTGGAAGAGGAAAACTCTGTTGGATTGGGAAGACTTAATACCATATGCCACAATAAATAATGTAAGTTAACACAAATACTTTCATATAATATATAAACAAGTTATTAATAGTAGACGTTTAACTTTGTTTGAGTTTTTATATTTTAGGAGGCCAACATTCCATTACAAAGACTGACACCCACGGAGGAAGAGCTTGCCACTGATTGGTGGCAAGCTAGTCAGAATTTTTTTGATGGCACGGATGATGAGCAGCATCCACTTCCTCCAATTCGAGAGCCATCACCTCACCTAGAGCCATCACCCGATCGACCCGACTATACATCTCTAGAACGAGAGCCATCACCTATCCCGTCACATCATCGAGCCTCTTCTCCACCATCACCTCATGATAGGCGACCGGCAAAGATGCCACGACTCCTATCTCCCTGTTCTCCACCTCCACCTCAACGGGATGAGTCAAGGGAGTTACGTGATGAGGTCAATGCCTTGCGTGAGGAGATCGGTACTCTACGAGATAACGATGGTGCATGGCGTGTGGAGGTGTCAACTTTACGTGGTGAGGTTGCCGCTCTACGTGAGATGATAGTATCGTTGCAGAATGAGGTTCATACTCTACGCAACGAGGTAAGTTTAAGATTTTCCATATTTAACTTAATGATAAATTTACTCGTAATTTCACTTAGATTAGCCATTTCACTTAGATTGCTTAGTAAATTTATTCGGTTGCTGCCAATTCTGCTAAACTGTGTATTCTTTAACACTGTGAAATAGTATTTGTCTTTGTTTTGTCTTTTGGTTGAAAGTAAATTTGTTCGGTTGCTGCCAATTCTGCTAAACTGTGTATTCTTTAACACTGTGAAATATATTTGTCTTTGTTTTGTCTTTTGGTTGAAAGTAAATTTGTTCGGTTGCTGCCAATTCTGCTAAACTGTGTATTCTTTAACACTGTGAAATAGTATTTGTCTTTGTTTTGTCTTTTGGTTGAAAGTAAATTTGTTCGGTTGCTGCCAATTCTGCTAAACTGTGTATTCTTTAACACTGTGAAATAGTATTTGTCTTTGTTTTGTCTTTTGGTTGAAAGTAAATTTGTTCGGTTGCTGCCAATTCTGCTAAACTGTGTATTCTTTAACACTGTGAAATATATTTGTCTTTGTTTTGTCTTTTGGTTGAAAGTAAATTTGTTCGGTTGCTGCCAATTCTGCTAAACTGTGTATTCTTTAACACTGTGAAATAGTATTTGTCTTTGTTTTGTCTTTTGGTTGAAAGTAAATTTGTTCGGTTGCTGCCAATTCTGCTAAACTGTGTATTCTTTAACACTGTGAAATAGTATTTGTCTTTGTTTTGTCTTTTGGTTGAAAGTAAATTTATCCATTCAAGTTTCAATTTGCAGAAGAAGAAATAGTTTACTTTCGCAACACGAAACTTAAAATCGCAACGCGAAACCAAAATCGCAACGCGAAACCAAAATCGCAACGACAGAATCGCAACGCGAAACCAAAATCGCAACGACAGAATCGCAACGCGAAACCAAAATCGCAACGACAAGATCGCAACGCGAAACCAAAATCGCATTGCGATTTTCATTTCGCGTTGCGATTCTTTCGTTGCGATTTTCATTTCGCATTGCGATTCTGTCGTTGCGATTTTCATTTCGCGTTGCGATTTTGGTTTCGCGTTGCGATTTTAAGTTTCGTGTTGCGAAAGTAAACTATTTCTTCTTCTGCAAATTGAAACTTGAATGGATTGCATTACTTCAACCAATAGACAAAACAAAGACAAATACTAACTTCAGGGTATTAGTTGAAACATATTTTTCTTTGTTATCTGATGCATTTTGTGAACTATGATAGAATAATGACTTGGGTGAATACAATGCAAGTTTGAAACATATTTGTCTTTGTTTTCACTGTTTAAATATCATGTCTGTTTATTTACTGATTTTTGTATTTAATTATTTAGCGGCCCGATAGAGTGGATGCTTTACGTCGGGTTATGCTTGCACGACGGAGTTCACGCATCAGACAGCGTGCACGTGCTATTAAGTCTCCGTACACCCCAATAGTGCGAAGACACCGCAAGAAGAAGCCCGACTCGCCTGTCATCCCTCAAGAGTCCACTCCTATCGTTGAAGAGGCCCCCCATATCATTCCTCGAGAGTCCCCTCCCACCGTTCAAGAGGCCACTGTCATCATTGAAGAGGTCCCTCCCACCATTCAAGAGCCCGATTCACATGGCGTCATATGTAGGCTTCTTGAGAAACCCTCTGACGTGCCGGACATGATGGATTCAAGTTGGCTCTCGTATGAGTTACCGGCCAGTACCATACCGGTATCTGAAGAGGAGAGGGAACAACTACCGGACACAATTTTGGATAACACCCTTTGGGCTAAGACCGCAGTTGATTTTTATCTACATGAGCGGAGCAAGGGGTGTTTCACTGACATATGCAAGCTCACCGATGATATCTTTTGTTGCTTGAACGGCCTTGGTGGGGCGTATTATTAGGGGTCGAAGACAATGGCTATTTCGATGGGGGGTAAGTCTTATATTTTTCTTATATTTCAATTTGATTAATTTTTTTTTAAATTTATGTAAGTCACTAATATATGTCTTTTTTTTGTAAAACAGCATATCGATGCGTGGGTGACACGTCTTCTAATAATAAGAAAACTTAAGAAAAATAAAAATATACGATATACAATAATGCCGACGTCTTTTCACGCCGTTCACTTGAAGAATGCACGAGATGAATCATTTGATTTGGGCAATGGACAAGCTAAACTTTATCCTGCATGGTGGGAGGTCGATAAGGTTAGTATTTATTTTAGATTGAGT